AAATGGGTAATTAAGGAGATAGGCAAACCATTAACATACATTTTTAACATGTCATTTCGACTTGGGCAGTTCCCTAATAAGATGAAAATTGCAAAGGTTATCCCTCTGTATAAATCTGGTGATAAACACAACTTCACGAATTACAGGCTGGTTTCTCTGTTGTCACAATTTTCAAAAATTCTGGAAAAACTCTTCAATAATAGATTGGATACATTTATTGATAAACATAAAATCCTCTCTGATTGTCAGTATGGTTTTAGGTCGAACCGGTCGACATCCTTGGCCATTACTGACCTGATGGAGGACATTACAAGTGCCATGGATGGAAAGAAATATACGATAGGAACATTTATTGACCTAAAAAAGGCATTTGACACAATCAACCATGAATTATTAATGTGCAAGCTAGAAAAATACGGGATCAGAGGAGTGGCTTTGAATTGGATTAATAGTTATTTGAAGTAGAGGCGCCAATTTGTGAAGTTGGGTGAACATCAGTCGAGTGAACTGGACATTGTATGTGGGGTGCCTCAAGGTTCAGTCTTGGGACCGAAATTATTCATATTATACATTAACGATATGTGCAAGGTTTCGGCTTTTGTGAAAATGGTCTTATTTGCCGATGACACTACGATATGGGCATCAGGGGATAACCCACAGCAACTATCGGGACAAGTTTCACAGGAACTTGAGAAGATAAAGAAATGGTGTGATAGTAATATGCTATCCATGAATATGGATAAAACTAAATTTATGGTATTTGGGAATCGCAGATTAGATAATGAACTTCAATTGATAATTGGGGGGCTAATATAAAACGAGTATATGAAATTAAATTTCTAGGTGTCATAGTTGATGACAAATTCACCTGGAAAGCTCATATCAGATATATTCAGCATAAAATAGCAAAAAACATATCGATATTGGCGAGGGTCAGACATATTTTGGACATAAAAGCACTACGTATTTTGTATTCTTCATTGATTTTACCATACTTGGAGTATGGCGTTGAAAACTGGGGAAATACATACAAAAGCTCACTTCAACCATTGTACATATTACAAAAAAGAGCGATAAGAATTGTGCATAAGATGGGGTATAGGGATCACACCAATGGAGCTTTCATACAATAAGTGGAGTAAAACTATGGAATAATTTAAGTGTGGACATAAAAAACAGTAAGAAAATTGATGAGTTTAAACACAGATATAAAGGTATGTGTCAATCAAGATATGGGCAAGAACAGGCTTAATGATTAATCAGATGGGAATGTGGATGTAGAATATGTATCCATGTAGTAATACTGCTTGCAAACCAATGATGATAAGATGATGTTAGGGGGGTAGGACTAGATAAGTCTAACTTCTTCCTACTCCGTTCAAGCATGTACTAGGTATAAGCAAATTGAAAATATTTTTGTGGACATGTCTGGAATTATGTGTGATTACATACTGACTGTTGTTACATGTTTGAAAGAATAAATAAATCAAATCAAATCAAATCAAATCTTAGGCTAAGATATGTGGATATACTTTGGGTTTTGGCCGTTCCTGGTCAGAAGCCTCTAATACAATACTGTATGTGTTATTTTGTGTGTTCATTGGCCTATTTAGTGACTTTCAAGGACTGCACACAGTATTGTGGGGCAAGTGCTGATCTGGGCAGGTCTTCCTCAGTGTGATTGTAGTATTTGACAAGAATGTATTAAGGAAAACCTAATAATACTACCTTCGTGGTACTGCCTCTACTACTCTGCTTCCCACTAAATCCTGATTCAGGAGCTTATGGCTTTCTTATACAGTGTGAGGAAAGTTCTTTTTCTTTTGAAAAGAGAAGACGAATAAAAATATATATTTCACTATGTAAAATTTATTATGCACGTATCAAAATAAGCATGCACACATGGATCTTCCCTGTTCAGGATAAAACAGAAAAGAGTGTCCTCAACTTGCCGGTATACAATATTTGTATGAAAAGATGTTACTATCTGATTGGTCAAAAACTGTTGGGGAGAAGCCATGGTTTAAACTTAACTCTCACGTGATTGGTCCCTCAGTCCGTCCGTCCTCCAATCGTCCTCTCTGCTCCAACGGGCATGGACAGCCCCCTAGAAAGGGGAGGAATACCTATACCGTCTTAATTCCTACATAGACACTTACTTCTTTCTTTGTTTCCAACGAACTGCTACATTTTAGGCATTGCTTTCCAGTTCCAATAAAACTGCTCTGCCTGTGTGTGTGTAATGGTTTTACCTTTGAAGTTTTCTCCTCTTCCTGGCTTCAGATCTAATCTAATCTATCCTAGGAATCCCAATAAACTATAACTCCCCTGTCCCATTAGCCAGGTGGTGATAATAAATTAACTGTGGACCCTCTTTGCCAAAGCTGTTTATCTAATGAGATTAAGTGTTTTAGTGAACCAGTCCCCTTGATGTTAAACAGTGCTCCAGTTGGCTAACACAGTAAATACTGACCAGTGATTCAGTGAACACATTGGGTGATATGTAACTACATAAACACAAATGTAAGATTAAAGTATGTAGACTTATGTACGTATACTATATAATAAAGATCCTAACTACTTTTATTCATTTCTATCTAAAAATAAAAATCACCCTAAATACAGTCAATGGTTTTTGGACTTATGAGCATGAAATGGGCTCTGGTTTCGTAATCCGTGCTCTCATTTTAGTAATCGCAAGTCATCGCACTTTGACCCCAAAACCTCAGAAATATAGTAGTGAACCATACAGTTACTCTAGATGACATAGCCCTGGCCTCCAGTGGCACTGTGAGGAACCTTGGAGTCATTTTTGACCAGGATATGTCCTTTAACTCACACATAAACCAAGTCTCTAGAACTGCCTTCTCTCACCTGTGCAATACCACTACAATCGGAAGCATCCCGTCACAACATGATGCTGAAAAACTGGTCAATGCATTTGTTATTTCCAGCCTGGGATACTGTAACCCTTTACTATCAGGATGACCCAATAATTCCCTAAAAAGCCCTCGCGTAAATCAAAGTGCTGCAACCAGAGTACTGACAGCAAGAGCTCACATCTCTCCCATATTAGCTTCTCTACCCTGGGACATTATAAAATCAAGAATTATTTGCATTGTGGGTTCTAGATGCAAAGCAGGTAAAGCTGTCAAAATCCAGGCAGGAGTTTGTACTTACCATAACTAGTTCCAATATCACAATACATGGCCTTGTTTACAGTGTCTCAATATATGGAATCATAACTCCCGTATCGTGATATGTATCGTATCGCCAGATTCTTGACAATATACAGACCTACTACAGTATCTGGTTCACTGCTTCAGCTACCGAACACTAGGGCTGAGGTCTAACAGGATGCTTGTACAGGGAGCTGATCAAATGCAGATTTACCAATCAGAAATTACAATTTGATTGCCCAGCCCCACTCCAAACCACAGAAATATCTTCCACTCTGCATAATCACCTGCTCAGCCTGTGTGAGGTTAATATAACAATGCCATAAAGTGACACTGTTGTGTTTATATCAGATCATTTTTAATTAGTGAAACAACTACAGTATTTGACCTTATACCGGTACCAGCAACTAAATGTAACATAGTAGCATAACTGCTTCCAAAAATCCCATGAAATGTAGATCACCAAAATCGCTGATTACGTATAACATTCAGTATTCAAACATAGTAAAACAGTGAATAATACAAAGTGTTACAAAGTGTTTTAAATATCAGATTCAAGGCATTTATCAAATGTGACTAACAGTCTAAGTTGTATATAGGTCAAGGTCAAAGTTTTTACTTGTCATATGCACAGTTAGGAAACGTGGTTGCCTGTACAATGAAATTCTTATTTTGGCGTCCACATGAATGCCACACAATACAAGTGAAATATAAAGTAGATGAGCAATAACACAAATCTAAATAGGCAATAACACAAATCTAAGGCACATTAAAACAGCAGGTGAAGGAAGCAAATAAAAATACAACAGGAACACAATATAAAACAGAGGGTGTGCAATTATGGACTCTGCTGTAGTGTATGGGTTAATCCCACTATTCTTTCACTTTCTTTCCCTCCCTTGTGCTCTGTGATCTGCATCTGGTGTTCGCTCTTGTGTGAATACGTTGATGGACTTTTAGCCCACTTGATTTAATGAAAGTTTTCTCACACTGTTCACACCAAAACGGCTTCTCTCCAGTGTGCATATGTTGACGGGATTTTAGACTCCCCAACTCTCTAAAAGCTGCCCCACATTGGTCACAGCTGTACGGCTTCTCTCCAGTGTGAATACGTTGATGGGATTTTAGACTCCCCAACACTCTAAAAGCTGACCCACATTGGTCACAGGTGTATGGCTTCTCTCCAGTGTGAATACGCTGATGGGATTTTAGACTCCCCAAAACTCTAAAAGCTGCCCCACATTGGTCACAGCTGTATGGCTTCTCTCCAGTGTGAATACGCTGATGGGATTTTAGACTCCCCAGCCTTCTAAAAGCTGACCCACATTGATCACAGCTGTATGGCTTCTCTCCAGAATGAATGCGCTGATGGTATTTTAGACTCCCCAACTCTCTAAAAGCTGCCCCACACTGGTCACAGCTGTACGGCTTCTCTCCAGTGTGAATACGTTGGTGGAAGGTTAGATGTCCCAACTGTCTAAAAACTAACCCACACTGTTCACACCAAAACGGCTTCTCCCCAGTGTGAATACGTTGATGGTATTTTAGACTCCCCAACTGCCGAAAAACTAACCCACACTGGTCACAGCTGTACGGCTTCTCTCCAGTGTGCATACGTTGATGGACCTTTAGATGTCCCAACTGTCTAAAACCTGCTCCACATTGGTCACAGCTGTATGGCTTCTCTCCAGTGTGAATACGTTGATGGGATTTTAGAGTCCCCAAAACACTAAAAGCTGACCCACACTGGTCACAGCTGTACGGCCTCTCCCCAGAATGAATGCGCTGATGAACCTTTAGACCCCAGCACTCTCTAAAAGCTGCCCCACATTGGTCACAGCTGTGTGGCTTCTCCCCAGTGTGAATGCGTTGATGGTATTTTAGATTTAACAACTGTGTAAAAGCTGACCCACATTGGTCACAGCTGTACAGCTTCTCCCCAGTGTGAATACGTTGATGACACTTTAAATACTGTGATGATGAGAAGGCCTTGTCACAGTGCTGACAGGAGTGAAGTTTCAGTCCCATTCCCCTTCTCTGATCCTATAGTAACAGACAGACAAAGAGAGGGAAAGTGCCATTTTTAAACAATGTAAAATCACAACTGACATTTGCAGCACATCTGTGGCTCATAAAGTCAATTCTGTAACAGCCAGAGGGGCATGGGGTGGCACTGGCCTCTATAGAAACATGACCGATCCCCACAGATGCTCCTTTAACATTTTGAAATTACTGAATGCCATCCCCATTGCAGACTAGCATCAGGAGAAATGTAGGATCCAGAGATTCTGGAGCTTGAACCATAACACAGATTGAGTTCGTTGATAGCTCGGCCTCTGTTACAGAA